ACATTTTTTACATCTATTATTCAGAACCATCATATAATTATTTGTTTCAGGATTTTGAGTTATTCCATAAGGTCCATTAATCTACAAGTATAATAACATATATTAGTAAAATTAAGAATTTCACATTTTCATTAAATAATAAATTAATTATACCTCATTCATAAATTCTAATGTAATATTTTTTGGATCATTTAATATTTTAAGTATCACAATCATATTATTACTATTTCTTTTCCAATTTTGATTTTCGTCATCCCATTCATAAATACATCCATCAATCCAATTTGCTCTATAAGTTTCACCAAATCTGCTTTTTATAGTGTTATTAAATCTATCATAGGGTATCCATTCTAATGCTGATTTATTATGAGCTGATAACTGAGTTTCTTGAATAAATTTATCAATATTATCATTACCACTAGTCCAATTTACAAAATTTTGTTGAAAATGAATTGTATTACATGTATAATTACATTTTTTACATCTATTATTCAGAACCATCATATAATTATTTGTTTCAGGATTTTGAGTTATTCCATAAGGTCCATTAATCTACAAGTATAATAACATATATTAGTAAAATTAAGAATTTCACATTTTCATTAAATAATAAATTAATTATACCTCATTCATAAATTCTAATGTAATATTTTTTGGATCATTTAATATTTTAAGTATCACAATCATATTATTACTATTTCTTTTCCAATTTTGATTTTCGTCATCCCATTCATAAATACATCCATCAATCCAATTTGCTCTATAAGTTTCACCAAATCTGCTTTTTATAGTGTTATTAAATCTATCATAGGGTATCCATTCTAATGCTGATTTATTATGAGCTGATAACTGAGTTTCTTGAATAAATTTATCAATATTATCATTACCACTAGTCCAATTTACAAAATTTTGTTGAAAATGAATTGTATTACATGTATAATTACATTTTTTACATCTATTATTCAGAACCATCATATAATTATTTGTTTCAGGATTTTGAGTTATTCCATAAGGTCCATTAATCTACAAGTATAATAACATATATTAGTAAAATTAAGAATTTCACATTTTCATTAAATAATAAATTAATTATACCTCATTCATAAATTCTAATGTAATATTTTTTGGATCATTTAATATTTTAAGTATCACAATCATATTATTACTATTTCTTTTCCAATTTTGATTTTCGTCATCCCATTCATAAATACATCCATCAATCCAATTTGCTCTATAAGTTTCACCAAATCTGCTTTTTATAGTGTTATTAAATCTATCATAGGGTATCCATTCTAATGCTGATTTATTATGAGCTGATAACTGAGTTTCTTGAATAAATTTATCAATATTATCATTACCACTAGTCCAATTTACAAAATTTTGTTGAAAATGAATTGTATTACATGTATAATTACATTTTTTACATCTATTATTCAGAACCATCATATAATTATTTGTTTCAGGATTTTGAGTTATTCCATAAGGTCCATTAATCTACAAGTATAATAACATATATTAGTAAAATTAAGAATTTCACATTTTCATTAAATAATAAATTAATTATACCTCATTCATAAATTCTAATGTAATATTTTTTGGATCATTTAATATTTTAAGTATCACAATCATATTATTACTATTTCTTTTCCAATTTTGATTTTCGTCATCCCATTCATAAATACATCCATCAATCCAATTTGCTCTATAAGTTTCACCAAATCTGCTTTTTATAGTAATATTAAATCTATTATAAGGTATCCATTCAAATGCTGATTTAGCATTATTATGAGCTGATAACTGAGTTTCTTGAATAAATTTATCAATATTAACATTGCCACTAGTCCAATTTTCAAAATTTTGCTGAAATTTTATTGCGTTACATATATAATTACATCCTTCACATATTTTATTTAATTCGTTAACATGTGAAGGCTTAATTAAATTCTTGATGCCTTTGATAAACGAGTCCATTAAGTTTTTTGTATTACGAATGAATTCAAGATTAAAAAGCGACTGAAAAAAAATTTAACCTAGAAAATAAGGATTATATAAGAACAATACTTATGTATAATTATTTGTTGTACACAAACAATGTTGTACGTAGTTGGACAAGAAGGTTAGCACAGTTCTGTTGTCCAGGTCTGACAAAGATCAGCTCAGTGCTGACAATGAGTCTGACAAAATTGTTAGCAAGGTTTTAAATTTAAAAAAAAAATTTTAATTTATTTTTTTATTATAGGTAAAGTTTTTCTTTGATAGAATTACTTGGGAAATTTTTATTAATAGAAAGATTTTTTTTTTGATAAAAAATATATTAAGAAATCCTTTATTTTCACGAAAAATTTATTGGAATATTTATTGGAAAAGTTTTTGCAATTATTCTTTTTTTAATGAATATTATAAAATAAATGGTTTGCTAACAATATAAAATTAAAAAATTTGCCCAATTTACTGTTATTCAGATTCTATCATGATTTTTCTTAATTTTATCTTAATCTTATTAATGCAATTAATTGGTTTAATATCTTTATCCCTATAAAAAAAGAATGTCCGGAAATTGTAGCTAAAAACGTCCGGAAAATGTTTATTTGTCTGGAATATGTCCGGAATATTGCAATATTCCGGACGTTGGAAAATTTCCATTTTCCAGAAAATGTCCAGAAAATGTCTAGGAGGGTTCAGACCCAGCGTCCAGAAAGTGTCCGGAATATTGCAATTTTCTGGACGTTTTCCGGACACACTGACATTTTCCGGATGTTTTTAGCTACAATTTCCGGACATTTTTTTTTTACAGGGTATTAATTTTATTCTTAGTATATGGTTTCGGACTTTTTTAATTTTTAATCAGGAATATTTTTTTTATATTTATAGAATATATGATTTCGGTGCAAATTTATTTATGCCAACCATTAGCAATTTGGCTGATTGCAAATATATTATTTACCAATAATTAATTGTTTGGTCTTATTATCAGTAATTTTGCTCAATTATTTTTCAATGTACAAATTATAGTTGTGACTTTTCCCTGTTGAATTTAATTATAGGAATGATTAAATTTAAAATATTATAGGTGAATTGAAATATTTGAATTCTTTATCACAAGGAATGTAGAAAATACATGATTGATCTATTTTAAAATATTGTCATTTTATACTAAGAAATAACTAGTGTGATATAAACTTTTCAACCATAACATAATTTGTTCAACTTTTTTCTCTGCTTTAAATCAAAAATCAAAAAATAATATACAATTATTTAAATTTACTATTATCAATTTACATAAACTGATACGTTAACCGCATTGTAATATTTAGTATTAATTGAAAGAAATTTCTGAGGGTTAAAAAGTGAAATTTTAGAAAAATATTATTGAAAAAATGGTAAATTAGAATAAATTCTATTTTTTCACATTAGTATTCGGTTTTATAAATAATATAGAAGTCATGATAAAATAATTAATAACTTAATATTTTGCGTATTTTTGCAGAATTTTCAATATCAGGTGTCAATTATGCGTACTACTCATATAAAAAGTCTCTGCGTACAGCTCATAGTAAAAAAAATTTTCGCCACCTGACCCTTATATATATATCTCTGGGTCCTATCTGAATAATATGTTGATTTAAATATGTAACATATTACGAAATCACACGACGCTAAAATTTACTACGCTTCAATAAAACATGGCGAAATACCTAGTCATTTTTCCTATTATCACTTAATAAATTAATACTTAATAAATATTAATTTTAAACAGTTTAGTCTCGTCATAGAAAAAATTGCAATTCAATTGATTATAAAAAGCTGACGTTGGATGGATTGGCATGATACCGAATTCGGAGCTTCGGCCGAATAATGTTTATTTTGGTCATTAATTTCACGTGATATATGTGAATGTCATGTGCCAATGAGAAACAGCTGTATGAATGTGGGAAAGCGTCTACGTTCCCTATTGATCTGACCAATCATTAGGACGCAGGTTCGATCCGCATAGCCAACGGAATTTAAGAATATTACTGCGTGCGCAGTCACCAACTGCGTTGAAGATCCCGTACCCATAATGGGTAGCTGAAATGATGCCTATCGATGGTGAGGTGATAGCAGAGATCATTGGTAGACTGAGATGGCAGGATCATAATGTCTGGATCCTTCCAAGGCCTTTAGTTTAATGGGATTATCTTGGTACCCGGAGGACCCACATTGGGATACAATGGTGCAGGCGGGGGCACCAACCACAAAAGCCGTATGGCAGGTGGTCAACCAATTTAATCCTTACACCGAAAGGGGTGGGCTATTGGCTGAGGTGTTGCTAAGGTGGTTAGGAAGGGAGCTAGGCAAGAGCATCTCCCCAGTTTCACACTGCGGTCAGCCCCAAATACCAAAAAATACCTACTGATGTAGGTGGTCCGGGGTGGGTTTAGGGTGTCCCTAGTTGGGCCACCCTAAATCTCTGATCGAAGAGTGGGGTCCCGTAGGGGATGACGAACAAAGGTCTATACACATATATTAGTCTTAAGTATTTTCGAACTCTTTCTTCTTCTATTTGTAATAGCCTGGGTTTTAACACTCTTTTAGTAATAAAATAAATAAATAAATAAATGAATGTGGGAAAAAAAAATTTGAAGTTAGAAATATTTCATATTAATTTTATTAGAAAAAATTTAAAGTTAGCCTCAAAACATGGAAATTATTTCATGTTGCTTAGACACATGATGATATCATACTATTAACAAACACTCCTCTAAAAATTTATCATCGTAACAAAAATTTACTATAGATATGCTTCATTAAAAAAAAATGACACTTAAAAAATTGCAAACATTTTTAATTTTTAAACTTTTTTTTCAATTTTATTTATTATATAAATATAAACATAATATTTAATCACAATAAAATAAATAATATAAATAAAAATATATTAAAGTATATAAATAAAAATAAAATCTTATCATACTTTAAGTATGCTATCTATCTAATAAAAAAAAATTTTTTTTTCATATTTATAAATTATAAGGTTTACTCTCTTCATTATCCACGTGCTTAATTTCGTCATTATTTGGCTTTTCTTCGTTTATAACGATCCCGTTTCGCTTCTTTGAAGATTTCTCGTTATCGTAATACTCATTAACCTGCTGATTACGTAACAATAATTCAATTACACGTTCAAGATTTCCATTGTAACGTTTTAATAAATCCTCATACAAAGCATTATTTGAAGAATCGAATCCCATGGAGTGTAAAGTTGAGAGTTTTTCATTTAATTGTTCTTGAGTAAATGTTGGTTGATTATTATAACATTGAGGATAGAAAAGGTTGGAGTTTTTACCGCAAGAAAATCTTGATCTATGATTATATTTATCTTTGTTACATCTGTTAGTTTTTGCAGATGCGGATGTGGAAGCTTCAGAATTTTTGTTGCAAAAATCTGATTGTTGTTGTTTTGAGCAACAGGAAGGTTTTGAATTTTCATTGCAAGAGTTAGGTCCACATTGGCGAGAACTGAAGTGATAAGCGGATGGACAACCATACCCATTAAAAAAAGCTGAACGATGAAATTGTGGACGTCCATAGGAATTAAACGGACTAAATGGGAAATAACGTGGACCACCGAATAATCCATCAAATAATCCAAATCTAGGTCCAAATCCAGATCCAAATCCAGATCCAAATCCAGGTCCAAATCCAGGTCCGAATCTTGGTCCAAAGAAAGTTTGACGAGCCCATGGATATGAAATTACGAAAATGATTTCGTCATCATCGTCATCTTCATTTTCTTTATTTTCATTTTCCGGTTGCGCTTTATTTTCATTGGTACTTTCAGGGCGCTGCTTCTCAGATTCCTTTTCTTTTTCTTTATTAAGAAGAGGAGTAGATTGACCATCTTCTGGTTCTTCTTCTTCTATAGTAACATGTTGATAATAAGAAGGTGGTCTAGATTCAACATTTTCTTCTTCAAGTTCAGTAGTTTGTTGCTGATTTTGTTGTATTGAAGAGAAATCGTCAACATGGTTATTATTAACTTCTACATTTGAATTAACCACATCATTATCATTTTCGTCTTCAAAAATAAAATTTTCGACTGTACTCAAGATAAGTTTAATAGGTCTACTGGAAGATTGTTGATCAAGAATTTCCTTAAGTTCCAAATCACTTGAAAGAGTAATTACGTCACCATCTTCATCATTGTAAGAGACAATAAGGGAAGAAGTAGTTGGAATATTGTAAAGTAATCGTAATTTAGATTCTAATTCTACCCAATTTGGAGAAGCAATATTGAAGCGACGGGAAATTGAATTATAAGTGACTTTAATTGTTGCCATTTTTTATTTAAAATAAAAAATTTTAAATTTTTGTGTTAATATAGAAGAAAAAAATGATTTTTATTTTCTTTTTTTTTTGAAAATTTGATTGAAATTGTTGATTTTTACTACAAGAATTTTTAACGGCATTTTATAGTTTTTTTTATCATATATTGTATATTATGATGGCGAAGTAAAAAGAAGAGAAAAAGAAAAAAACGTAATCAAGATTTGCTGTTCATTTTCGTATATATGCATTCGTCATATAGTTGTATTAAAATTTTGATGACGTTCCTAAATTCGTAACTATTCTGAATGACAAATCTCATTCTGGGTTATGCTGGATTAATCTTCAATTTGCCGAAATTGCCGAAATTTATCCGAATTACTGCGCCAACTACGGTTTATTTAATTTATCATAATTTTTGACTTACCATTTAAGGGAATAAAGGATGAACTCTAAAATTGAACTATACGTAAAATAGTGCATAAGTCGTACATGATTTGTGATTGTAATTGCTGAATTGTTGCCCCTATAATCGTATTACGTATACCAAAAAAAAAAAAAAAAAATTGAAATATTTTATATTTTGAATCCATATTTACGAGACAACGTAATCAAATTGAATTGTTAATTTTGTAAGGCGTAAGCGTTATGAAAAGAAGAATAACGAACAATTATAAAAAAATTATAAAAAGGCGTTGACTGAAAGGAAAGGTTTTTCATTTAAAAAAAAAAAATTAATTTTAATCAAAGAAAAAAAAATATTTTTTTACCTTCAATAAATATTTCGTTAAAATAACTTATTTTCCCCCACAATAAAAATAATTTAAAAAAAAAAAGATATGGCGAATATTAAAGTAACATATGGATCAATTTCTCGTCGTCTTACCATTTCTTCTACCACAACTTGGTCAGAAATTGAAACTCAATTTCGTAATTTATTTAATATACCTAAAGAATTTCAAATTATAGTATCTTATACAGATGATGAAGGTGATGTTATTACACTTTCGAGTGATTTAGAACTTCAAGAAGTTCTTTCAAATAATTCCAATAATGCTATTAAATTTATTTTAACTACTTCAATCATGAATAATTTGAATGATGATAATAATGTACTTGATGATAGAGAAAAATCGACTGATACTATTATTGATGATGAAACCTCAAATTTAATTAATGGCGTATCTTCCATTCAAATTGAAGATCCAAACAATGATAAAACTACCTCTAAATATAAACATGTTACCATAACCGATGAAATCGATGATCCTCTTTTTAATCAACAACAAGAAACTATAGGAGAAAATTCTAAAAATGCCACGGAATCTAATAATAATGATAATGTAAAAGAAAAAAATCCTTCAGTTGAAGAAAATCAGGAAAATCAGGAAAGTCAGGAAAGTCAGGAAAATAATGATTATGAACCTGAAATTATTGTGATCATCACAAGAAATCCTTGGTTACATAGAAGACGTGAAAGATTTGGAGGATGTAATCCATATTATTCTTGTCACACCTTTGGAGGAAGATCCCATTCTGGTGAAAATACCCATGGATGTAATCGTAACGCTAATTCTCGTGGTTATGGATGCGGTAGATATTATCGTAGACGTCAACAAATTTCACCCGAAATTGTAGCTGAAAAGATTAATACTTTACATTCAATGGGATTTTTTAATGATAATTTAGAAGAATTGGTAAGAAAATATAATGGTAATCTTGAAGCAATTATTGAAGTTTTATTATTTAATCAACAAAATGAGCAAAATAATGAAAATGTAAATAAGCAAGTCGTGAGAGAAGAAAATAACGAAAAAGATCAACCCATGGAAATCGAGGAAGAAAATAATAAACCTTATGTTTTAAAGTAAATGCATTGTAAAAAAAAAAAAAAATAAAAAATAAAAATTTTTTTTAGTAAATATTTTTTACAAACATAGATTTTATCTTCGATAAGTTACTCATCAGGATGAAACTAGTAAACCAAGAATATCTTCACTCGATAGGTCTTCTCTTTTCTTTAGGTCTTCTCTTTATTAGGTCTTCTCTTCGGTTCCCTTTTTTACGGTATGTAGGTTGGGAGCGTGGGTTGTGTATGGGGTGGTGGGTGTATGTTTGTGTATTCCCTCGCTCTTCTCCCGTTTTACCTCTTTTCTTTTCCCTCTACCTTTCCCTTATTCACTCACTCTTTCCACTTCCTCTCCCCTTATTCCCTCGTTATTCACTCGCTCTTTCCACTTTCCCTTTCCCTTATTCTCTCGCCCTTTCTACTTTTCCTTTCCCTTATTCCCTCGCTCATTATACTTTCCCCTTCCCTTCCTTTCCCTTTTCCTTATTCCCTTACTTTTTCTTCCCTTTCCCCTCTCACGCTTTCCTCTTTCCCTCTCTCCTTCCCTTTCCTTTCCCTTGTTCCCCGTTATTTCCTCTTTCTCCCCAACGCCGGTGATCAGGTGACAAAAGTTTTTTAAAAGACTTGGTTAAGTCAGCAACAAATAGTTACAGCTTGTTTCATTTTTATTAAATAATGAATTTAAGAATAAATTTCATATTTAATTTCTCATCTATATGATTATTCAATTTTTTATTTTTGCAAATGTATTAATTACTTGGTCCAAAGATTATTAATTAGTAAATCTAAATTTTATTGAGATTCAATATATGGATAAAAACTCTGATTAAGGCCAAGTATTATAATGTTGAACCCAAAGATAAAAACGAAAAGACTACTTTTTCTTGAAATTTATTTTTTCTATTGATAGCAACAGCATAACTTAAGCTTCGCTCGACTAACATGTGATTAAAATTTCTCATATACTTCTCATTAAGTTAGATGTTTATAATTTAACGTTGACCAACCTCGATTTTAACTACACCTATCATGGAGCTGCTTATCAACCATCAGTGGCTCCGCCTTTATTGGCTCTTTATCTTCTTTTTTATCACGTGATGATGGTTGATCGGCTGGTGGCAGCCTTCTCTTAATCTTATTTTTCTGCGTCTGGATTTCCTTGTAGAGGTTATTTTTTTTCTCCATATGTATATATTTAGATCAAATTAGTTAGTTTTTTTTTATTCTTGGTGCATCCGTTCGGGCGTGGGTTCTAATCGATTCCATTTTTACGACCAAGGAGGCAACCCCCTGTTCCGCAAGGGCAGTTTGGGTTTTGGTTATCTGCCAAGGTTAAAGTAAAATTTAAAATTAAATCAGGCCAAAATTAGCAAGTGGCTAGTGTAAACCAAAATTAAAGTAACGTCTCAGCCTCAGCCAGAATTAAGATCACATGACTCAAGTGGATGACAGTCATTTGTGAATGACATGTGACATGCTATCAATGTCATTTCTGTCATTTCATATCATTTGTCAACGCTGAATGTAAAGTACTTGTATCGTAAAAAAAAAAAAAATATTATCACACGTCGTTACGCCGAGTTCAAAGAGTACTGTTATTGAGTTGTTAATGAGCAAAGTTTACAAAATTAATATATCTTGGACGATTGGAAGCATAAATGCACATCATTGCATTAGAGAGCTGGATTCCGTTTCCATTATGGCCCGTAATAGAGACTTCCAACTTCGTACTGTTTATATCAATCATTAACTTTCTAAATCAATAATAACATGTATTGTACATTGTCACTTAATCGGTCAAGTTGATTTTGGTCGATCATCCCAATGAGTAATTCGATCGCGGCTTTTTTAGGGAAAATAAATACCATGTTTATTTATTTTATCTTTTTTTATCTTGGCGCGAATGGTAAACACGGAAATAATAATTTTTAATGGTTCGTTTATTTAAAAATACATAAGTTTATTAGGACGTAAAATTTATTTGAAATTCTTATCTCTCTTCTTAATAAATAGTCGCTCTTTGACTATCGTAATTAAATTGATCGTAGAAAGCAAAATAATAATATCATATTTAAATTACGGTCATTTATTAAAAAAGTAACGTTAAATAAAATTTAAATTATAACAAGAAAACAGACACTTAATTTGAAAATATAATAAATTCTTGAAAATAAAAAATGTAGTAACAATATATTCTTTTATAACTTATTATAAAAAATTTTATATATTATCTCCACCTTTAAATTCGTTATTTAAAATCTCTAAAAAAAAAATAGAAATTGGTAAAAATTAAATATCATATATTAAGTATGAACAAAAAAAAAATTGTTATGAAAGTTAAAAATTACCATCTTTGTTAAATTTCAATTGAGAAATATCAATTTGTTGAGATTCTATTTATAAAATAAAATTTATTTAGTATAATTATTAAACGTTCATGAATATATATAAACCTGATCATTAAATATATACCTAAATATTCCATAGATACTATATTATCGTAATGTTCATAATAATCATCTGAATTTTTTGGTTCAGGAAGATTTTCAAAATCAAGTAATCTACTTGTATAAATAGCTTCTGAATGTGTTTTATATGATAATTCTAAACTAGTTGAGGGTATTCTATTAGTTGATAATTTCTTATTGATTTCATCAGCTTCTCTAATTTGATCTTGTAATTCCGTTTGATTATTAAACCCAACCCACCATTGCATTAAAATTTTTTTAATTTCCGTTGCTGTTGGTCGATTTAATGGATTTGCATCTAAACATCTTTTAATTAAATGGACGATAAGTTGAGGCACTTTAATATTAAACTTTGGTCTATATCCTTGACAAATTTTTATTGCTAAGTTATTATCATGGCTTAGATCATGATATGGAGGTAATCCAGAAATCATTTCGTACATAATTATACCAAAACTATAAATATCGGAAGCTTCAGTATAATTATGTCCTCTTAAAATTTCAGGAGCTATATAAGATAAAACACCATATACTTTTTCTTTTGTAATTTCTGACGCATTGTAATTTGCAAGTATACATAATCCCATATCGGTTATATAAATATCTCTAATAAAACTATCCGTAAGAAGTATATTTCCAACATGCAAATCTCGATGAATTATTTTATTATCATGAATATGATCAATTCCAAATGCAATTTTACATAGGTAATGGATCTTATCATACCAACTTAATTTATTATAATATTTATCTAAATAATTCCGTAAACTTCCCTTTTCCGCATAATCTAAGACCATCATATAATCTTTTGTTTCTGGATCTTGAGTTATTCCATAAAGATTAATAACACCAGCACCAATAGTATTAAGAGTTAGTTTGTGATGTGATACAATCTACATTTATCGAAATCAAATATATTAGTCGAAATAAAAATTCTGTATATTAACCGAAAATCAAATTTATACCTCACTCATAAATTCCAATGAAAACTTTTTTGAGTTATTTAACTTTTTAAGAGCCACATCTTTATTATTTTTTCTTATCCAATTGTTATGTTTTTTACTCCATTTGTCTATAGGTCCATCAATCCAATTTGCTTTATACACTTTACCAAACCCACCTTTTGCAATATATTTAATATTATGAAATCTGTCATATGGTATCCATTCTAATGCTTTCTTCGTTTCATAATGATCTGATAACTGAGAATCTTGAATAATTTTGTCAATATCATTATTTCCACTAGTCCAATTCTTAAAATTTTGTTGGAACCGTTTTGCAATGCAAATTTCATTGCATTCTTTACATATTAATTCGTCAATATCAACTGATGAAGTGATTGATCTTTCTTTATACATTGAAGATTTGTTTAAAAGATTTAAAATTAGAATAAATGTGAAAGTGAAATAATGTTTGATGCGGGATAAATACGACAAAGTCAAGTGACTCGACTAAAAAGACTACTGATTTAATAAATCGATAGAAGAATGTAACGTGTTATTTATATACTTTTTTTTTATCTTTATTAGAAGATATGAACATAAAAAAAAGAATGAAATTGATGTATTTATATTATTTTTTCTTTATTCAAATTTAGTTTGGGGATGGAAAGGAGGATTGGGAGAAAATAATTTTTTGCCGATGTGGCCACATATATATACTTAAATGGAAGTATCATCACATGACTTTATTTGACAATATAATCCTTTTCTTTATTGAGTTTAAGAAGTTATCATTTAATATCGGAATTGGAAAAAAAGTAATTATATCCATATATATACATATTTAAATGGAAGGATCACAAAAAAATTTTTCACCTGATACTGATCGTCACACTATTTATGCTATTATTCAATTTTCTAAATTGTCATAATTTTCAGATCGATCAATTCCGTGAATTCCGTGAAAGCGTCATTTATATTCCGCCTCTGAGCCTATACTTGCCGCAGGACCTGACGTTTGTCGTACACTTAGGCTAAATTGATAGCAATGTGACTTGACTCATGATTGTACGTTAATTAATATCAAAATAAAAGTCTTATAGTACATAACATAAAGATAAAATACAGCGTATAATAACATAAATTTATTATTAAATATACTATAGAACTTTGAATATAAATTTTTTGTTCTAATAAAGTGTACAGATCAAAGTTTACTGTTATAAAATCTAATAATACTGTACAATATATGTATTTTATTTTTATTTTACGTTACATCATACATATTTTAGTCTAAGATTTTTATATACCCTTGTATGAAGGATGAAAGACGAAGGCTTATATTCAATTAATACTCACTAATGCATAATTTCAGCCAAAATCAAATGATTGTCACTAAAATTTCCTTTTTCGGAAATTCATATGGCCCATTTCATAATTTCCTTTTAGGATTTGTGAAACATCGTGTGACTTCTATTTTGATTTTGTATATCTTCAATGCTTCATAGCTTGTCCATTAACCTCTACATATGGCCATACAATGGCAAGCCGAAGCAGACAAACCCGCGCCTGTTTTCAACAAAAATTTACCGCTTATTTAACATTTATTATGCAATATTTAGCATTTAATAGACGCATAATTTAGCGTATCACAAAATGTTTACTATTTTAAGAAATCTAGACTGTTTTGTAATACAGAAAAAGTGAACAAAAATTTGATGTACAAATTAAACGCTTATATTATAATTATATGTTTGTTAAATGCTAAAAGTCGCATAATAGGTGTGAAATAAGCGGTTATCATGTTGAAATAGGCGCAGATTTGTCCACTCTGGCTGTAAATACGACTACTAAAATGGGGTGGATAAATATGGGAATCTCCCAATCCCACCGGACTGCTTATTTATTACACGGTTCTGAATTGGTGCGTAAATATTGCTGGCCAAAATTATTCAGTATTGGTCTACTACATATTCTGTCGCACCTTTTTTATTTTTATTTTTATTGATTTTTAATGTCTATGGCGCCAATTTCATCGTTATTATAATAATAAATACTACTAGTAAATAAGCACTATAAAATACTAGCATGAAATTAATGAATAAATACAATTGCTTTAAATGTATGTATTGTATATATAAACTATGCAAATCAAAATAGATAAAAGACCGGACTTCAGGACCGATGACGGGGAATGCCGATAATTTATAATCAATATGGAAGTGTAATTGTCCGGAGAGAAGCGTAAGACTATCTCCGGTACGATCATTCACAAATTTGTGTTATTCAGTGACGGACTTTAACGGTTTTCGTTTTCTTTGTATATCTAAATATATAATTTAGGCAAGAAGACAATATTTATTATTCTATATCCTTTCTTAGTTAATATACAACCCTCCATTTTTAATTATTATTAAAAAGAATTATAATTATATTGACTGTAGAAAGTTAAAAAAAAAAAAGGCATATTTAAAATTACAAGCTTATATATTTTTTGGACTTAAACCTTATTTTTTAAAAAAATAAACATTAAACAGGGTTTTAAATTATGTTCTTGAAGGATAATAAATCAAAGATTATTAATTTAAATATTCTATAGTATGATAAGGGCAGTGACATTTATTATGTAATATTTTAGGGGGTGGGATATTTGAAGGTCATATAACATATAAGATTTTACATATTACATGGGTGGGGTATGGGCTTATAATAAATGGATATTACGTAATAAATGTTACTGCCCTAAAGTAAATTCGTCTTTAGATTTATTTTTATAATACCTTTTTTTTTATTCGTAATATAATTTAAATCATTATTTACGTTAGTATTCAATTGAGAAATATTGATTCGCCGAGATTCTATTTTAATGTAATAAATTATTAGCATTTATTAAGATTAATCAATATTTTCATGGATGTGATGTTATCATATTTTTTCATAATAATCACCAGAATTTTTTGGTCAGAAAGATTATTATTGCGCTTTTCAAAATTATGCTACCCTCCTATACTGATAAAAAAATCATTAAATTACAGGTCGATTATCGGACAAAAACCGGACAATGTTGTCCTGTAATCGTCCTTGTAATCGGCCTGTAATTATAATCACTCAGTAATCATAACGTACACAGAATTCTGAAAACTGCGATAAAATCAAGTAGTCTACTTGTATAAATAGCAACTTTATGTGTTTCATAGGTCAATGCTAAACTAGTCGATGACGTACCAATAATTTATTGTTTTCTTCTGTTTCTTCAATTTGCCTTGTAATTCCGTTTGATTATCAAACTCAAACCAACATTGCCATATGTTTTTAATGCATTTGCATCCAAATATTTATTAATATATTGATAATTGAGTAACTTGAATAAATTTATCAATATAATTATTGCCACTCGTCCAATTTTTAGGAACCGGATTGCATTACAAAGTTTTACTGTACTTTGTTTAGTTTGTTTTGATACATATATGAAACTTAACCTTATAATCCAAAAATGAACATTAGAATGAAAAACAAGATAGCCAAAATACAGTACTTTTCTTCTTAACACCTTATTTATGTATGATAATAACTAAAATTGGAATTTTTAAAAAAATCACTTCCTTTTTACCTTAATATGATTAAATCGCATAAAAGTGAAACGTAACACAACAATTGAAAATTCCGCAGTAAAAAATTTGCGATATCCGAACAATAATATATTCTTATCCCCTGTAAAAAATTTTATCCGTAGTTTCTGTAGAAACTCCGTGAATATGATGACACATTTTACTAAAATTCTAAAAAATTTGGATAATTTCCATGTTTCAAGATTATAAATTCCGTGAATATGATACATTTATGGAAATAACATGGAACGAAAAACACAGAATAAATTTTTATAGGACTTTGATGTCTAATTATTTCATAGTACAGCGCGTTCATTTATTTCCACTAAATGAAAAATCATTAAAAAATTCATTATGGCATTCACCCAAACGATAACCATAATAAAAAAACTAAAACATTAACAACAAAAATAATAGCAATAATATAAGTACAGTCATATCATAAAATTCGGATAGTGGCGATAATTTTGGGCAGTGATATTGGTCCCAAAGACACGGCTTTTAGGGACCAGGCCGGATCCGACTGATCCCATCCTATTGTATGGTTAAATCCTTTAAGTTTTTTTATTAAAAGGAACCAACATTCCTTCCACGTACTTGAATTCATTAATAATTATTATATTGTACCATATAATCAGTGTGAAATACATTAACTAAATTTTTGGCGATGACAACATCAAATGTTGTTACGTACATATACTGTAGGTACACAAATATTTTTTACAAAATGGAACCCAGAAATATATTTATAGGATTACTTTTTAACACTAGTGTACATTTTATATTTGGATAAGGATTATAATAATGTTATCTAATAGGTTAGAATTGATCATTTTGGAAATTAAAATAACCATATCTGGGGAACAGACTGAAGTGAGTACTAACTTTTCACTTATTTTAGATTGTTACACGATTTAAATTATGTTTATACTCTAAATAAAGTTTGGAATATCGCCGATGATTTTCTACAGATTAGGTTAAATATTACGAATAAGCAACACCATGTGATCAAAGGTCACTTTTAATTTGCGTGGGATTCTCATGAAAACCTAGTGAAAATCCATGCGTGCGTGTCATGTATGTATAGTTAATTTTATTTGGTTATCGGGAATTGAAAGATATAATTACGATACGTATAATAATTTGTACCATACCTAGTCATTTTAGGATTAAATAAACTTTATATAATAAGTGTAATTAATTGTACAATTTATGATTGGATATTCATTACGTCTTTATAAAACGTGGATCAAATTTTCGGTTTATTTTTTTGTATTACTTAAACATCACGTTACTTTTACCCAATGATTGATCCAATTAGATAATGTGTGTGTATTGATTATTGTTACAATGATGAAACGATTGGTTTTTTTAGATATATATGTATATAAAAAAAAAAAAATTTTAATGATGATGATTAATCATGAATTAATAAAATTCCAGAAAAAGTTATTTAAAAAAATATTATGGCAAATAATTTTCCTTTCCTGGATTTTCTTTTTTTTTTTTCATTAAAAAAATATTTTTAATATAAATATATATATACATATATATATGAAACTTTGTATATATATATATACATAAATACATATAAAAATTTTAAATTTTTTTTAAAATTAAAACAAATAAACTTGAATATCGTTTTTTGTCATACTTATTATTCGGAATCCCTTTTTTTATAAAAATATATTTTTATATTTTTCTTTCTTTTTTTTTAAAAAAAAAATTCTTTTTTTTTTCAAATTTACAAATGAATTCTCTTGAATTATTTTTTCAAAAATTATATCAATATGAAGTGGCAAAGAAAAATAATCAAGGAAATGGCCATGCACAAGTAGTTGAATCTCCTATACTTGATATGAACTTTGATTTTTCTGATGCACCTCCAGCGACCGTAAATGAACAAAAAGAAAATGGAAAGGATGAAAAGGAGAAAATAAAAGAAAAACCAAAAAAATCATCTATTCGTAAGGTCAACCCTCCTAGACCAATTAAGAAGAGACCTATCGAAGTAAGCAAAGTTGAACCACCACCAAAAGTATCATCGAAAAGAATGAAAAGGATTAGAAATAATTTACGTATCGATATGGTTGGTTATGAACAAAGGCATTATGCTATTCGTTCAAATTCTACCAAACGAGGATAAAAGAATGTTTTTATGAAAAAATTATTTTCTTTTATATATATTTTTCTTGTAAGAAAATTTAATTTTTTTTTGAATAAACGGAATACAATATGAAGAAAAAGACTTTTTTTAAATTATTTTATTAATATTATAAACACAAATCGTAACCCAATTTTCTTAAAAAATTATAAATTATTGGACAATAATAATTTGATATACGAAATATGAATTTTATAATTAAGCCTTTTAAGTATTATTAATTTTTTTGAATAAATGAAACAATCAATGTATTAGAATTATGAGTACAATAACAAAAAGATAATATGATTATCTTAAGTTAGTATATGTAAGCAAAGTTTATCCATAAAGTTGCAAAAGATTTACTTTGTAGGCTTGATTTTCTTGATTTTCAATGCATGCTTTAATTAATCCTAAGGAATTTTCTATGTAACATACCGTACATATTGTAAAACAAACTATGAAAATCGTCGTAAGACGTTTCAGATATTTATATATACTGTATATTATCATCTATAAGAAATATATGAAATATGTGAAACTCAATTTCGCAATATGGAAATATGGAATTTTTTAATTATTAATTTTCAAATTTATTATGTTACCTATTTCATTTTATGAATAAAATTTTATTATATTTTATATATTTTTTAACGAACACAATGATCTGCAAAGGACAAATAAAATTCACATTTATAAAATTACTTTTAATAGAATGTCGGCCACTCGATTTGAATGTTATGAGGGAGAAATATTAAATCATCACTTAAATCGTTAAATATTACTTATTAATTAGACTTCAGCCTATTTTTTTTTTTTTAATGATGAAATGATATAAATTAAAAAATAATTTGATATTCTTTTTTTTTCCCACAATTTTTTATCATAATTCTTGTTTCGCTTTAATCAAGTTCAAATATGTCAGAAGGAATTTCGAGGATTAAGAGACAATATCCACCTGAAGAAGAGGACGCAAGTCGATTAAAATTCAACGAAGGTAAAGTTTACGACTAACTTTTTTTTTTTAAAAAAAAAAGTTGAATACTATTAGTCTATTATAAATACACATATTTTTTTATATATAAAAAAAGAATTTAAAAATGGAACTGTTTCCGAATTTTCTTGTTTGAGTTTATCTGAAGTCGCTATTATGTTGGAACAAACGAAATTGGGAAATCCCGAAAATCATGGGGCGTAAGTATTAAATTTATTATTTTATATTTTATATGTTCCTAAATATTATCGCTGTTTTCATTAATTACAAATTACTTAATAAAATAAAATTACCAGATTCAGAACGATTACCGGACATTTTGTCTTGTAATCGTCCTGTAATCGTCCTGTAATTATTATAATCACCCACTAATCAAATGTTTAAAAAATTAAGGATTGTTGATAAAATGATAGATTATTGTAAGACTTATCGAACGTTTAAAGACAAAGAAACTGTACAAGAAATTCGTAGGTAATACTGTAAATTTATTTTATTTATATACTGTAATAATAATAATTTAAATAATCTTAATTTCTCATTAAATAGAACCTTGAATAAGTACGAACTGCATGAGTATGAAGTTTCCCAATTAATTAACTTGATTCCTGGTAGTGTCGAAGAAGCATTATCTTATATTCCCAGGTAAACAAAATCATGTAACAAACGCCAAGAGTCGATCAGGCAGAAATGATCAACATTCGCTATGTCATATTCACTGTATTAAAACGTTCTATATTTTATTTGCAGCTTGAGATCAAAATTTTCAAATGAAAAAATTAATGAAATTATTGAAGATGTTAACGAATTAAAGAAATATCAAGGGTAGAACTTTCATTTCAAAGAATTCATAAATATTAATTTTAAAATTGGCTTTTGCTATAAGTAAATATTCGTTATTGAAATAAAATTATATTGAGTCCAAGTCATATTACAAAGTGAAATGATTTTCCCATTGTCATAATTGGGCAAATTAAACTTATTTAGGAAAGAAATGTGACACAATAGGAATTCGAATTAGTAATCCGATTTTATAAATAATATATTTTCAACTGCGGGAAACAGATTTCCCATTTTTAACATTTGAAAGGATAGGTAGGATTGTTGGCTGCTACTTATTAGGATTGCGTCGGATACTAATATCCTGAACTTTTCATGAGTAAGTAATTTATTATACTTGATATATAAAAGTATTAAAGGCACGTAAGTATAAAATTAAGTAGGATTAAATAAAGAAAATCAGAAATATAGACGATGAAAATTTGTTTGTAACATTAGAAATTGTAGAATAGGAAAAAATGTAAATAACATATATATAATTTGTTAGCGTATCTATATATATATACCAATAGTAATATAGAACAAAGTACGAAATTATGTATTTTTTTTATTTACAGATAAAGTATTATTAGATGATACCAAATTTAATAGGATAATTAGTTCCTTATTAAAACTATAATAAAAGAGAGCTCAATGTGGCGATCATTATGTGGTGTACATAGCAACGCTACATTATTACTGTGATACTTGATCTTTGTTTTTCCAAATGATCAATTCAATAATTAAACTTGCATAAAAAGTTATATATACTCATATTAAATCTTTAGAGCATAAAATATACTCCCCAAATTCGTCTTAATTTCTTCTTCAATAATTCATTTCTTTCTCTTTTTCCTAAAAATAAATGATGTATATTTTATATATCGCGCGAACGAATATAAAAAAATCTTAAATACACAACTTATTGATATAAACAAGTCGCTATTATATCTTTAAAACCATTATTTAAATTCGATTTATGTTAGAGATACAGTATGTGAAAAATTTTATTTTGTTTTTTTTTTAATGAAAAGATTTATCCTTTCCTAATCTCCGCTAATCCTAATTTCCTCTAATTCCAAGTTGTGTATTTTTTATTTATCATATATTTGTTACTTTTAAAAAAATAAAAATAATTTAAATATATTTTATTATTAATATTTTAAGGGGTGGGGTAAAGAAAGGTCTTAATATATACAGTGTAACATAAGATTTTATATATTATGTGGGTGAGGCCGTGAAGGTTAAGACTTATAACAAATGGATATTACATAATAAATGTCACTGCCCTTATTAATTTTCTCTTTCTTACAAAATTATGCAAAGCCCAAAGACAAAGCCACTACAAAAGCCACTACCAAAGCCATTAAACAAATACAAATACAAAAACATTACAAAGCCACATATTATTCCATCTTACCTCATTTAAAAAAGTATTTAAACAACCATAAAATTTTTTTCTGATCAAACTTTTCCCTTCTCCCCCTTTTTAGATTAGATTTTTTTTTTTTTTTTCCTTAAAAAAATAAGGAACTTACATTCCACAAATAATATGTAATTCCAATTAATGAAAGTATACTTTAATCATATTTTATACAACATATTACCATATATTGCTGACCACAATACCTCCATATATATACCTCCTCTTTTTTCTGAAAAAATCTCCAATTTCTTTTGATTTTACTATTTGAACAATCTAATGTCTTAAAATACTATTAAAATACTAGTAAATACTATCAAAACACTAGTAATACTATTTATATATATCAATATACTAGTAAATACTATTAAAATACTAGTAGATAATTAAATAAATTCATACAATATATTAAAATGAATACTTTTAAATATGAATTCATTCAAATACTATTTCATACATATTGTATATTGTAATATAAAAAGGAATTTTTTTACTCATTATTATTAAAAATTCATTTGGTTTACATTTAGAAACATTCTTTATTTATGAAGGAATTTTCTTAAGAACACTTGAAATCACTTCTATACATATACCCTTTTCATATTTTGTAATAATACACATGTAATATAAGCATTACACTAATAATGTATCATGCAAATATTTATTATATTACTTAAAAAAAGCCAAATTAACGAATGGCTGAAGTGGCTATTCAATAGGATTGAAATAAACACTTCAAATTTCACAAAAACATTAAAATATTTTACAGATATTATCAAAGTATTTTAATTTCTAAATAAGATATATTCTTTTAAAAAAATCATATATATTAATTATAACTTGTAGTGTTAAAATTTTATTAAGAGAAGTGTCAAGTAGAAAACAACTTGGGCACAAAAAATTGAAATACTCTTCTGCATTGATGATGAGACCACAATAAAAAACAAAAAAATGATAAACGGATGTTTTTGTCTTAATATTTCAAGATAATTTATATAATATTCTCCACTTATGAAATATTTCAGCTCAGAAATGTTATGTTGATAAAGATCCACAAAATTTGATGTCAATCTCACTAAACATAAAATTTTTCAAGAAATGAAAAACTAAATGAAATTATATATTAAAAGTCTAAAATAAATAATAAATATAATAATAATATTTTAGATTTTGAAAATAGAACTTGTTCACTTTTATTAATCATATTTGAAATACTACCTCTTCTTGATATTAATATACATGATTTTAACAAATCAAACCATTTAATTATCAATAGATAGATTTTTTGAATCAGCATTTGTCTTACTATCTTCCTAAACATTAGCAAAAGTTCAGAAATAATATTGCAAGAAATTTACATCTTATTAGACACTTCTGAAATATTATTGATCACTCTATTTGCTATCCACAACCTATAGTATTATCAGTAAAAATGTTCACAAACTAGTCATGTAAATTCATAAGTTAGGATTTGACAAATTGAGTATTTGAGTTATTAAGAAAAAAGCAAAAAAAGTAAATACTGAATAATTGGTATATATTTAAATATAACAAAAGTATATATCTGATTTGATGACACTATGTCTTTTGAGGAGAAAATCTTTTTACCAAGATTCAAGCCAAGACTAATGACTTAATTTAAGATTTTAATTAAATTTTCACTCATATTTGAGTTCAGACATTTGGTTCCTTGTAAGTTACAAAACACTCTTACAAGTTTGTTTGAATAAATATGTTAGATAACATCACTCTTACAGTCTTACTGTGACTTCACCCTAAAATATATGAACAGGAATATATACAAACTGGAATATATACAAACTGATCTTTATTATAGCAATGGTTCAATTTATTGATTATACTTGAATTATGGGATGATATTGCATCATTACATTCATGTATACTTTATTATGAATAAATATTTTTATCAGATCCTATTCAGAAATTTTAGATTGAATAGAAATTGCCACCTTTACTTACTGTGGAAAAGCTATTATGATTCATTAATTTATACAGTGGAAATCAAGAACAAAGGATATTAGCCTAAAGTGCAACTAGCCAATAGCAGCAGCAATAACATATGGTGGTTATAATATTTAATGATGAGATAACAAAATAAATCAATACTAAAGGAAATTTTCAAATTTAAATAAAATTATTATACTAAAAGAATAATTGTTATATTTTAATTTCAACATGCATAAGATCTGAAATCAACAGAAGTTTACAAAGAAACTGTCAGTCTGATAATTAGATCAATAATATTATTAATTAATACATTTATTATAATATTAATAACACTAATATACAAATGCCTCAATGCAAGTAATATATTTCTACTTATAAAACTTGTTGAGAGGCATATTTTTACTTATGAAACTTCCTATGATAGCAATTTTCAAAATAATCACTAGGACTATTATTTTTATATTTTTCTTATATTATAATTATAAAATTTTTATTTAGTTTACAAATATTTATTGTTTAAATTTAATGTTAAAAAAAAAAAAAATACATGGCTAATATCAAACTTTTAGACTTTTAGTAGAAATGGCTTACATAATAGAGCATTAATTAGGATTTAATAAAGAACAGTTGTTGAAGGGTATGTATTCGAAAACCCATATAATTACACTATTCGTAAATATCAACATTTAACAACATGAACTTCATTAATGAATATACACAATTCACAATCTTTATGAAGCATTGATAAATACTTTGAATGAGATAAATATTCCTGAATTGTTATGGAAGGATCCTGTTGCTAGATAATGTTCCTGAATTGTCATGGAAGGACCCTATTGCTAGTAAAAATAGTGTATAATTTATTTAAATACATTTATAGATTATTAATGGTATTATTACATCTTAATAACAACTTTGTATCTTTTATTGTTTCTTTCGAAAATTGATTGAAAAAATTATTTCATACAAAAGGAACTTAAAATATGCTATAGATGTAAATAATACTAAAGAAATACATTGGGAGTTTTACATCAAATTTACAAACTTATTAATACAAAATAAACTGAGATTTCAAAGCAATATTGATTATTTTCATGATACAATTTCAAAATTTATCAACTTTTTGAGAAATGTGGAATATTTTATTGATGCAGCAAATAAAATTAATTTAATTCAATTCTATAATGATCAGTTATAAAAGTTTTAAAAAGTACTGTATATTTCAAATTTTTAATATATTTGGATGAAATATTTTGGAAAAAAATTATACATGCTTTGGATATTTTTAGAGATAAATCATATTTATATACAGATATAAGTATTAAAAATTATAGATTATTCCTGTATGATAATTGAATACAATAATACATCTTCTTTATAAGATTTCTAAAATTATAGAATTAATGGCATCTTTGTTACTAATGAAAGCAATACAATACAAATAGTTATCAAAGATTTCTTTATTAATCACAGTAATAATTGGGTTATTACTTGAATTTCTTAAATACAGGAAAGAAGTTGATAATTTTAATTAATTATTTCAATAATATAATTAAGAAAGGCTTTAAATAATGCTAGTACGCTTTGCAATATTGAAGAAGCAATTATTAAAAATCATGAAGAATTAATCATTCATAAATTGCCATCATGAGGGATATTAATAAGCTTTTTTGGTCCATATCCCTCTA